CCCAAAGATATTTATATCTATTAAGTATTATTAAAATAAAATTATATAACTAGTAATTGCTAGAATCTATCTATTCATTCAAAGCAATTGTGATGTTTTCTTCTGCTTGCAATTTCTTTTGAATTTTGATTATAATTGTTGCAACTTTTAAATAAAGAATATTGGATGAAATTGTTATATGACATGATGGATTATAAGCTGGATGAAATTGTTTATAAAATTCAATAAAAAATAAATAATCTGCAACTACAAAAGAAATTGTACAAGTGACAAAAAATCTTTCTAATGCTATATTGATTATATCTCTTTTAGAATTGGTTAACTTGATACTTTCTATAAAATTACTTAATGAAGATTGTTTAAAATCTAATTTTATTTTTTTTTTGGCAAGTTTTTTTTTGTTCTCGACAGTTCTATTAGCAATTATTTCCAAAAATTTATTTCAGATTTTAATAAAGTAAAATACATACTTACTTGTCAAATGGTCTTCAAGAATATTTGATTTATTATACTAATATTTTTTGTTATAATAATAACATGTTGCTGAAAAGTATTCATGACTTTTATCAATAGCTGTTCTATAAAAATATTACTAAATAATTGATTCTAGTTACCCAATTGTATTTTTTTATAATAAAGAAACTGTTTGATTATCATTACTTTGTATTTTGAATAAATGGATAAATAGAAAAATAATTAATTTGTTGTTTTTATTTTTTTAAAATTTAATTAATTAATAATTGTAGTATAATTTTAGTATTACAATATAATTGCAACAAATTTAATAACTGCAGCAAATTATATGATTGCATTATATTAATTTAATTGTGGCAAATTTATATAATTGCATCACAATTATAACTTGCAGCAAATTTATATAATTGTATCACAATTGTAACTTGCAACAAATTTATATAATTGTATCCCAATTATGACTTGCAATAGTAATAAAAATTTCAAATAATTAAGTCAATTGTAAAATAATTTTAGTTACATATATAGTTGATATATTGGATACCCTTTATGTCTTTATAACTAATTTGCAAATTAACATTACTTAGTACTTATATTACTATCAAATTAGCTATACCAACTACCAATTACTTAATTATATATTCATTTAAATATCCGAAAATATGTCCATATGCCAGATGAAACTTTTCATAAAAAAAATCTTATCATTAGTTTAAACTTACCTAATCCACTAAGTCCATTTATTGCAAGAAACAGTATTATTATAGAATATTATTATAGAAACTAACTCAATATTCCAGTTACTGTTATTGTTAGATTCTTGAGATATACTACTAGCATAATATTGTATTCTCATTTTTATTACCTGTGAAACTGGCATTTTTGCTTGGATTTTGATTTAATCTGGATGATCTTATTCAATTTCACTTGGTCTTAATGATTTTTGCTTAAATTGCTATCATTTATAACAGATAATCTTTGCTTTTTTGGTTTGTTTAAGTTCAGGAAAACATTACATTGCTAAAACTGCCCAATTTTTATAAATATCATTACTTAATTGCTACTTAATTGTTACTTAATAGTCAAATAATAGTAACAAAGTAGTATTAACTACTACACTATTGTATTTTATTACTACTAAATTGCTATTGTATTGTTATTATATTGTTACTATATTGTTACTAAATTATTTTTATATTGCTAAATATAAATAGAAACTATTTTATAACTGCTTTGCTATCATTCCAATAACTTTTACACTACTATTATATTACTATATTGCTACAGAATTATTATTGCAATTGTAACTGCTTTATATCTATATTATTACTATTATATTATAATATAATAATCGAATTATATTTAAATTGCTACTGCTATACTACTATTTTTTAAAAAAAATGACATTACTACTATATTGTTACTACATTGCTACTATATTGCTACTACATTATTAAAAAATAATCACTTTCAATAAAGTACTCTTGAAATAGATCAACTTAGAATTAGCTTCTTTATGTTGTGTAACAAAATTTACTGTTACCAGTTTGGGTTAAAGTTTGTGGACTTATTACTGAAGTTAAATCAAAAGCCTTTTTTTATGCAATCTTTTTTGCTTTGACTTGTTTTCAATCTGCAATTGTCAGAAAAATCAGAAGTCTGTTTTCATGCAGCCTAACTAAATTTGAAAGTTTTTTTTCAGCTGATTGGATACAATATGAATTGAAAGTCAATCAACCAATCATAAAGATGATAAATTTTTGCAACCAGGTGAATTTGAACCCTAGACTTTCACCTGGTAATCTATAGAGTATTATTATTATGTTATAAATCTATAGGTCTCATTAATATAATTTTTATTAATATAAATAATAAAATATAATTGATATAATTTGTTAATATATTAAAAAATCAATTTAAACAAGTTTAATTTTTATTTTATTATTTTGACAAAATCTAATTGAATAATTGAAAACAACAATTATTTAAAAAAAAATAAATTAATTTCAGTTTTTTGAATAAAAAATTTCAGAAATTCTAAAATAATACAATAAGTATCATCATGATAAAATTATATATAAAAGCTGTATTAAAACAAATAAAAACTTAATAATTTTGTTTAAATATGTTTTTTAAAAAATATTTAATTTAGCAAGTATAATAATATTTATATAAATGGTTTTATAATATAATAAAGGTAAAAAAAAATACAAAAAAACAAAAGAAAAAAGAATTGCTATAAGTCTTTTCTTATATAATCAAAAAATAAGTAAAACATTTAAACTTGAATAAATTTTAATCAAAAGTTTTATTTTATTGCACTAATTTATTTTAAAGATTCTTAAATTTTTGAGTTAAAGTTTATTTGTAATAAAAACTATAAAATATTTTTTCTTACTTAAAATTACTATAAAAGAAAATTTTTTATTATATTATTTAATTTATTATTTCAATATATAGTATATAAAATAAGATAAAAAAAAAAACTCTCACCCATTTATTACTGATTTTTTGATAATTTTCTTTTTAGGAAATTCTCTTTCAAAAAGTACTTTTTTATTTTATTTTTCTAAGGCAACTAAGCTTTAAATAAAAAAGAATATAAAGACTTAAGAAATATTGTTATAGTGAAATAAAATATCTGATTAAAACCTAAGTAAGTTAAGAGTTTTTCTTAGCTTTTGGTTATATGGGAAAAGATCCATAGCATTTTTTCTTTATAATTATTGTCTTTAAAATTTTTTCTTTCAATATAACTTTTATAATCACACACTTTTTTTTTTCTATATTATAAATATATCTTTAATTACATATTTAAACAAAGTTATTGTATCTAATGTTTGTTTTAATACAATCTTTACTAATTTTTTCTTTTTATTTTTTATTTTTCTTCTTTTATTAAAAACAACAATACATTTTACTTTCATATTCTATCACTATTTCAAAAAATTTCTTTCTTAATTCAAAAACTATATTCAGTTCTATTCCATCAAAAAATCAATATATAACCAACAATTAATCAAATTTTTTTACTCTTTTAACAACAAAACCAAACCTGTTTAAGCCTATTTTCAACCAGTTTTTTTAACAAAATACTTATACACTAACAATAACAACTATAATAATAACAATAACAATAATCACAATCAATTAACAATATATTGAATTGAAAGAATACATGACTATGTCCTGTGCAGATTCTAGTAATTTTTAACTAAATAAGTATTAAAAACATAATAATATTGAAGCAGGCTCCATATCTAATTCACCAATACCTCAACTATACTACTAGGGTTCCGAATAAAGTATCAAAATGATATTGACTTAATACTGAAATGATACTGTTAGAAATCTTATATACTATTAATTTATAAATCATTCAACTTTCCACAATTATTGTTAACAATGGAATTGTAACTCATAAGTAGCAATATTACTATTAAAGAAAAAAAACAGCTTAAGCTTAACCAATATAAATAAAAATAAAGTACTTTTGTTATAAGTAAAAGTGAAATATCAAGAAGTTGCATTCCATAATATGGCAGCCTAAGCCAGTGCTTCTTTACTGCTACTGAAGTTGCATCCAACTATTGAAAAGAAAGTCTTAATCTAAATAGATACATTTGGTTTGTGTCCTATGAAAGAAATTGTTAATATGAAAGATAATTGCATTCAAAACTTAACATCTATTATTACTACTCCAATAACTTTCACTTTTAACTTCTTTAATTATACATAACTTTTGAAAAGCAATTAATCTTGACTTTGAAATTAATGTATATAATAACTTCATGTCAAAAAATATTCAACTTTCAACTCTTAATACCTTTACATTCTTTCACTTACATTATGACAATTTTGCCTCTCAAATTTTTTTATATAATTTATTTTATCCTTATATGTAGATAGTTCCTTTCTTAACTTTTTTTTTGCTCAAGAGTTTTTTTATTAGAAATATATCTACTACAATAGGTGGTAGATTAATATGTACATATGTTCATATATCTTATACTATATCTTAAAATTAACCATGTAATAATAATAATTACATATTAATAAAGATTATGAGACATGTCTCACCTTAATGGAAAAAAAAAGTATATAAGATAATATAAAAAAATTAAATTAGAATTAATATTATTATAGTTTAATATCTGAGCTTTAAATTTTGTATTTGTATTATTTATTATTTTATTTTTAAATAAAATATCAATATATTAAATCTTATCTAAAGAAATGGGTTTTATTTTTTATAATAATTTTTGCTCTTGTAATTGATATACGATTTTTACAAAAGTTCTTAAATATTATTTCGATTAAAATTTTAATTATCCAATTTAATAAAAAATTTTCGATTGATAGAATTTATTAAATACGGTATTTTTTTAGTTGGTTAAAAAGAAAAAAGAAAAAAAATTTTTTTATTGGCTAATCATTAATTACCTTAAAAGCAGTTACAATATCGAATCATTATGCAATTTATTTTCATCATTATTTTTTTTTAGAATTCTGCTCAAGGCAAGGCACTATGGTGATGCGATAAATTTTTTCACGTTTTCCAACCACGAAACATACTCTTTTTGTTCTTTGTATTCAACGTAATTTGGAATGAATAGAGCCACAGCAGTGTTTATACCTCGTTCTTCCAAATACTTTTCAAAAAGAACTTGTACATCCTGTTGAGGTAAATGACAAAGAATTGTATCAAAGATCAAGCTTAGGATAAAGGAATATCAGTAGAATGAATACAAACATTATCCAAGGTTTCAAATTGCGGGCCTGGATAGTAGCCCCTTCGTTTCCAATCAGCCTCAGCCGTCCAATCGCCTGCCAGTTTAGCATCGTGGTAGTATGACACGTAATTTATAAGGAAAACACCATCGGCGACTAATGACTCGAATCCTAGGGCACCTTTACCGGCCTTTTCATTTGGAAACCAAATAATTGTTAAAACCATAAGTTTACATGGCGCTTGTGGACAGCGATTAATCATTCAGAAAATATCATAACTGATTGCCTTACTTTTTCGATAGTAATAGAACATCTGACTGGCAATGATTGTTCACCCGGATCGTCATCTTCCCCTTCCTCTTCGTCATCATCGACTTGCTTAGTGATAACAACAAACAAAACAGTTTACTTTCAGGCTCAAATTGTACAAACGAAACGCTGAAAACTCACGCCGTCTTCTTCGTCTTCCTCGTCCCCAGCAAACGAGCTTTGATCTGACTGTTCGGAAGTATTGATATCAAAAAGCAAACGGATTCTACCGAGAGAAATGATCCCGGTTCATTAGAATTCAACGAATCTTTGATTGTTACCAGAGTAATATATAAAATGCAAACCTTTCGTTGCCAAACGTTCTCGTCAGCGCGACTTCGTTTGCGCCAGGTTTATCTTCTATCTATTATATAATTTGCAGGAGATTAGAGTTTATTCGAGGAAAAAAAGGACAGGGATGATTATTATTACTTTGAAGGAGTTTTGGGAAAGAAAGTTTTTTATGAAATCGGGAGTTTGTACGGAAGTTTCGTTTTCTTTCTCATATTTGAGTTCGTCAGTCAGTTTTGAAGCCAATTCTCTGTCAACTAACAGTATTTTCCGGGTTTGCGAAAGGATCCCAATGAGCTCAATAGAGAAAAAAAACGTCGAAAAGAAAACGAATCTTTACTTGAAGCAGCGGGCAACGACCGAAAACGGGTCGCGGAGAAACCGCGAATGCCTGAAGGCAAAGTGTTAATTCTCACAGGCACCTGTTGTATTAAGGACGCCGAACGCACTTTGCGTGTCTGAGCCAAGGAAGAAGACTTGAGCAAAGACTTTAACAGAGAGGTACGAAGTAGGTTGGCCATAGTGTCGAGTGGAGTTTTAAAAAAAATTTTTGATCGATTATCAGTTGGATTATGTAAATAAATCATGTGATATTATTACTGACTAATCAAAAAAAGGATTAAAAATACCTTTAACGAAGCTCAAAAATAAAATCAGATGTTTTGCAAATTTACCCAATTTCTAGAATTGGTATAAATACAATTTTCTTATTAAGACTAATGATTGTAATTAAGGCTAATTTGTTTGTACAAAGTTTGTTATAAAAATATCTATGCCTAATGAATAAAGAGCAGAATTACAGGCAGAGAACCTCATTAAAAAAAGGAAACCCTAAATACAAATAAATGTACACCATCAGTTTACATTTTGTGGTCGTTTTTTTTTAGTAAAGAAGGATCAACGATCTTTTCAATAAATAAACCGGTGATACAGGAAGAATTGAACGCTAGATTGATCGTTTTTAGTAATTTGGGAAATTTTGTTTGCCCTGCAAGGAAGCATCCGAACCGCTGTTAGAACCAGAGGCAATGTTGTGAACTGGTTTGTAAACGAAAGAAGGATAAGGAGTTGGTGCATTCACAGGATATCTTGTGTATAGTTGATTGAATGATTCAGAATTTCTCGATCTTGAAAGAGCCTGAACATTCTGGCGATGATGGTAGTACGGTTGTGAAATGGATGGTTGATGCGGGAAAACGTCAATATGATTTGGAAATTGAGCTTGACCGTTGCAGAGCGAAACCCCTGTATGTTTGTAATCGGTCGTAGAATTGGCATCGTTGAATGGTACTTCGCGTTTAATGGGAACATGTGAAGCGGGTGTGACAGGGTAGGAATTTGGAGGAATTTGAAAATACAAAGTGTCGCTGCCAACCGTTGGAATTGAAAAGGTTGGTGGTGACCGCGGGCTCGGATGATAATCACCCTCTTCAGTCTGATTGATTGGAACAAGCCCGTCATCATTTGTTGTGCTGATCGACGACTGTACTTGTTGCTTCGGGTTAACATCTTTAAAGTTGATATGTTCTTTATCAGTGTTTGACATGCTTGGGGAAATTTTCTTGTCCTCTGTTATTTCTTTCGTTCCACTGTCAGCAATTTCTTCGACCATCGCTGAAGATTGCTTTTCCTTTGCTTCATCGAGAATCGTCACATCGTTTTGAACTTTAAGGTTATCGTTAGAGGTACATTCGCCTGAAGCTTGCGGAGAAAACTTTGCATCTTTTGATATTTCGATGTTAGCAGACGGCACCTTTTCTTTTGATTCATCATCACTTTGCCTGGAATCGTCTTGTGATTTATCCAACATGTCACTGCAAACCTGAGAAAGTACCGATAAATTTGCACCCTCGTTTTCCTTTTCACCACCAGGACTTGTACTATTCTTACGATCCGAGGATTTTACGGTTGCCTTATTGGATATACCTAGAATCTCGTTATTAGTTACTTTCGACTGCTCTACTTTTGATTTTGGTATATTTTCGGTTTGAGACAATGACTGTCGCCTACCCTGGGCTGACGTAGAGTTGGAGGAGGGTGGTGGTGGGTGCTGCTGTTGTTGTTGCAGACAAGAGGGTGGAACAAGCACATAATAAGAAGTGGTTCCTGTGGTCGCAGGAATCATCACGAATTGCCCTATATTCGAGGGAATGGCCGAATTCGGAGTCGTTGATTGCATCGCCACAGTTTGTGGTTGAAAATTAGGCAATTGTAAAGTGACTGGTATAGGTATCGGATTAGGATTGGGATTTGCAGGTGGTGCGTTAGGATCACTCGGAGGGATGACAGGAAACATTATTGAAGCAGTAACGGGTGTTACCACTTCCGGACAAGGCGATTTGTTCGTATCCGCACTAGTTGCGCTTTCTAATTTAGGAATACAGATGTGTTTAACATTTAAATTTTGCATGACATCACATACAGATAATTTAGGAAATAGTTTTTACCCCTTTGTTGTTGCCTACGTTTGTAAGGACCTCTCTTAATGCCCTTTTTTCTCTCTTTTCGAATGGAATTTTGACACGTCTCTGTCAATTCGTACTTGATGCAACGTTGACATGGTCTTCCGTCGTCGCATTTCTTGCATGCCTTTTGACAGTTAACTGAGGAAACAATGATAAGTAGTACAGAAGATTATTAATGGATGTATGGTATGCATGAACGTCAAAATTCCAAGTTCCTGGGAATCACATCCATAATGAGATTTGTTTGTTTATTTTTCGGAAATTAAGAATTTGTGGGGGGGGGGGATCGTGCTACCACATCATAACCTGGTTCCACTTAAATATGAATTGCCCTTTTTTCGCGTTACATGAATTTTTTATACCCCGTGAACATCAATTGAGGATACGACTTACCACAAGCATTCTTAACCTGTTTTCTTTTAGTTTTTACACCTGATGCTGGTTGTGAGACCGGTCCTCCAATGGTATTTGGAATGTAAGCATAGGCGGCACCTTGAGGTAATTGATTCAGACAATTTGTGGCTTGTGGGGTCGTGGTGAAAGGTTGAAAGGCCGCCGACGTTTTCTGAGGCGGTGGTGATGATGATTGCTGTTGTTGATTTTCAAGGCTGTACTGAGCGCTCGAAGAACTTCCTTCCGACATATTATTATCTTGCATTTTTCTCGCGAACTCAAGGTCTTTTTCTACGCTTCCTAACCTTTTTTCATCAAAGCGAAAGTTTTTTAGGACCATAACTTATTTCAGAAAATAAAGAATAGGAAAAATCGAGAGAAAAATTACTTATACAGAAAACAGCGAATTTATATGATCTCGATTTTACTAACTCCTTTGAGGAGAAGAAAATACAGACTGAGAGTTAAGAGGAGTTGACCTATATTTATATTTGTTAGCGGATACTTTTGAGCCTTAGACGGATCAATTGATTTAAATTTTATATTAATAATCCGCTTTGAATTTTATACAAGTCATCATTTCTATACGTCAACAAATTTGTGACTCAGAAATTTAATAGACTATATTTATATAAAAAGAAAAAAAAACTACCTTGAAATAGGTGGTAAAATATCAGTTCAATGTAAAAAATATACGGTATGATGCCAAAATTGATACCGATGATGATCAGTTAATGGTTTCTGCACCGCTGATGCTGAATAAATTGTCGTTATATATAGTGCACTTAAAAGTTCCGATAAATAATTTCTTTGACACCAGAACATGGAGACCTACGTATTGTATTAGTCAGACAATGATCAAAAGATGCAAGTGATCGAAATGTGATCAAGTGTTGCGCCATGCTTTTTCTTGCGCAGTTATTATTGTTTTCCAAGTTAACGATTTCATGATATGGTCAAATACGCAGATGAAATCATTCTTTAAATAATACTTTTTTTTTTTTTTTGCGCCCACTAGCTAATTACATTCATTCGGTCGATCACTGCGTCATCAATAATTGAGGAAAGTCCGCAGGTTCTCTTGCGTGACAATCAAATCACGTGACCAACAACAATGTAATACCTAGACTAATGTTTTTGCATTTCACATGGACTGAGTTACAGTATATATGTGAGACAAGGATTGGAAACAGATGCTGAGACTGAAATTAATTCGAATACAATTGTAACTTGCATTTAATCTACCTTTCTGGTTTTTTTTTTTTTTTGGTCTGGGATTTTCTCAAAATTCATGACATCGTGATATCGGAAAACAATATACGCATACTTTTTTTTTAGCGACAGGCCTCAACTTTAAAATCAAAATAAATTCGGAAATTCAATTCAAAACGATGCGAGAAACAATGGCTCTTTGGACCGATTTCAAAGTCGTCTCTCCTCTGGTTGGGACATTGACTAAGCCACAACCAATCAGATCAATCGACAAAGTCACAAAGCTATAAATAGGACGATCATCAAAAACACTTCCATCATCAATCTTTTTCTTTTCGAAATTGCCAAGATGCCAAGTCAACAATTAAATACCGATTGCAACATTTTAGAATACCTGAAATACCTTGAAGACTACATAGATACATTAGAGACTTTGCCGGCAGATATGCAACGAAGCTTTACCCTTTTGAAACAACTTGATGCAAACGCGCAAGATGAACTTGATAAGGTTGCGGAACTGTCTAGGCGATTGGCACAAAATATATCTGAACTTAGTCCTGAAAACAGAATAGACCAACTGAGAAAGATTAGTGATGATCTATGCATGACCTGGAAATTTGCCGAAGAGAGAGTGTCAATTGCAATGTCAGCGTATGAATCCGTTGATATGCACATCAGAAGGTTGGATGATGATCTCAAAAAGTTGGAGGATACTTTGATGACTGGTCCTAGTAAAACTCATGAAACAACCGATGATGTCATTCAAGAGGAGAAGAATTCTCGTAAGCGAGCTGTCAAAAACGACGAGAAAGCAAAGAAACGAGCAGTAAATGGTGATTTAAAACGTAAGACGACAAAGAACGTCAGAGTTCCCAAAACTTTGCGACCGAAAAATTTGAAAGAAAAAGATGAGCAGAGGAGGAGCAAAAAGAAAAAGAAAAGTACTGTATCTGGGAAAACGAGCGCGGTCGAAGAGATTCAAACTGTCGAAGATATGCCCATCGATCCAAATGAGCCGCTTTACTGTTATTGCAATAACGTCAGTTATGGCGAGATGGTTGCCTGTGATAATGAATGTGAGATATTATGGTTTCATTTTTCCTGCGTCGGTCTTACCAGTAGGCCAAAAGGGAAATGGTATTGTTACGAATGTTCAAAGATAGTAAAAAACCAAAAAAATAAATGAGATAAATTCTTAGATTGCTGGGATATTGAAATTTTTATATAGAGAATTGCGTGACCTAGATTCCCGAGAATCATTTGATTTGAAAAGAAATTATATTCTCGGGATCGATGCATCGAATGTTTGAGGTTTGAAAGTGGTCGCGCCATTTAAGCACGTGAACTTTTTTTTTGTTAGAGTTTGGAGTGAAAATAAATATTACATAGCAAACATTCAATAACTTACGTGCAAAAAAACGGTCTAGCTAAATTTGATTGTTTGAATTTTTAAAGTTATGGTTATTTGCTTTTTGAATCCTTGATTCGGCCGGAGATGCATGTAACTATTTATTTAACTTGATTTCTTTTTTGCTTAATGCACAGCTGTAATATATTCTCCCTTTAATTTATTATTATTATTAGATTATTATTATTATTATTATTATAGTTTATTGTTTATTATTTATTTCAACTTTTAATAATTTCGATTTTGAATATATCTTGTTACGATATCACTAATTTAATAATTTGCACGCTTCTCACCAAAAAAACTATCTTATTTGGTAATTTTATTATTTTTCTTATTTAATCATCTGCATACAACAATTTAAAAATGTAATTATCATATGAATTAACTTTAGATTATAAATAAATCAACAAACACGTCCAAAAACGGTTATATTTCACTTTCCTATTTCGTTTGTTTATTTGAAACTGCGTTCGGATTATAAAATTATAAACATTCGTATGTAAAAAGAAAGCAATCTTCGCAGAATAATAATAATAATAATTGGATAGGACTTTTTTCTACTAATTGAATAGAACAAAGTTATTTTGATTCATCAATTTGTGTTTTATTGGAAATCTTATTTGATTTTTATATGTAACTGTTGAAGAAATCAAAATATTATAAAAAGAAGTTGGAGAAAAAATTAGCCGGTTTAAACTGGTGATAAAGGATTTATTCCAATAAATAAAGATTGATATTGAAGAATTTTTATTTATCAAAACAAACTTTTTATCTATACATTTTTTCTTTCTATTATTTTTTTAAAAAAATAATAATTTTTTATCTCTCATAACCACAGATTTGTATTAGGGTAACAGTTTAAATATAGATTGGCTATAATTTTTCTCAAGATTAAAAAATAGTTTTGAAAAAAAATTATTATTATTATTTCTTATAATTAT